CCTATTGCCGTGCTCCCGTGCAGCCTCGCCGTCTCCAGCGCTTTCTTTTTCTTCTCAAAATGGACCGGCCCAAATCCAAAAATCAGTTGACTGACCTTTAGCTATTGTGATCCAATTAATACTCCGGACATCTGTGTACTGTCAATGTTGAGACAATCTGAAGTTACAAACCGAGGCTTGAAATTATGATAAACAATGGAGCTGAACAACAGCATAGTCATAGAACAACAATCCGAGTGCAAGAATCTGTCAATTGCATTTCGAACAAATGAATTTGCCTTGATTATGTACACAATAATACAAGCACATCTGTGCATGTAAATCTCCAGTCAATCGGTTAACAAAGGGACCGATCCAAAGCAGATTTATCCAGCAAGAACAGAAACGCTAATCACCAAAAATACACTCTGTACAAGGTCGAACGATGAACCTATCTGATTCTAAAGACCCTAGACGAACAGCTCGAGCAAGACCGGCGGCCGGTGGGCGGCGGCCTGGTGCCCAGTCTCCTGCTCCGACAGAGCGACCCACCGGTCGATGGCGCCGCTGAGCGCCATCTCCTTGCGGTGCCGGCGCATGTGGCCTCCGAGCGCCTGGCCGGTCTCGAAGCCCAGCCCGCAGATGTGGCAATCGTGCTGCTGCTTGTCCTCCTGCCTTTGCCGCTCCTTGATGGCCCTGGCGACCCCGACGCCGAGCTCCAGCCCGTGGCGCCCCCGGAGGTGGCTGGTCCGGTGGCCGCCGAGCGCCTGGAACGTCGTAAAGGCGCGGCCGCACGTCTTGCACACGAACTCCCCTTCCCCCGACGTGGCCACCACTCTTCCCCGCCGCGCCCTCTTCCTGGCCGGCGCACCGGCCGAGTCGGCCGACGACGTCGAGGAGTCCGTCCTCAGCGCCAGCGCCAGCGACAGTACCTCCTCCTCCCTCGCGTGCTTCATTCCCGCCCCCATGGATGGATTTGCTGCTCGTATAAATGATCTGCTGGAGCCGCCTGTGGATTTGGATTGATGCTCGTTTGTGTTGTTGGTCTGTGGGAAGGAGGCGGCCGCAGTTATATATATAGGCTGTGTGGGCAGTAGGTGGTGGAGTGCGTGTTGCTGCGGGCGGAGCTTACGTTTGTGCTTGTGTGGACCAATCCCTCGATGCCACCGCGACATTCGCGACGTGACGCATGGGATCGAGTTCGATGGGGATATTTGTGGTCGTACGTAGCGCGGTCGACCGGCGGCGAACGTGTGGTGCGGAGTGGCGCCACCTGTCACGCCACAAGGCGCGTGGCGGCGCGCCTCTGCTTGGCTCGGACTTGGACGGCGCGTGAGAGTGACAACGGAAGGGTCTGGAACGTTCTAGAATCTGAGAGGATCTTTGGATCGTACAGGATCATTCAGATTTGTCTACGCCACACGTACACACAACTAGTACTTTTTTAAGATCACACCACGTACTACTGCAACACTGGTGTTCGTATACAAGTTTGGTACATTTTGAATTCGCAGAAACGAAAAAGAGTTTGGTACGTTTAGTTCTTCTAAGACTACCCATAGTGGAAGTAGCATAGGTGGTATCATCACATTTATTTAGACAAAATAGATAATGTGGCATGTAATTAATGAAAAAAAGACATGTAGTAACATAGCTAGTTACTGTAACATCACACATATCAAGAAAAGATGAGTCTATAACCTAATAAATAAAGTGATGCATGACACACACATATGTTACTAGTAACATATGCATGTTACTACTCTAAGTTACTCCCCCCTGTGATTAGTCTAAAGAAAAATTTTGATACTCTCTCCGATTGTTAATTAATCGTCGCAACCACTATACACAATGTCCAATGACGCAGCTTCTATACACTGACAATTAATTTGACTTGGAGGGGGTACCTTTTTTACAGAGAAACAAGGTTAGGTGGTATGTCCGACGTTCTCTTCTGACGGAAGTTATCCGCCTGGCATTGACTGAGACACTGACACTCCATTAGGCATAATATTTGGTAAAGCGAATGAGAACTTGATAAAATTGTGATTGATTTTTATTGACAATCTTCTTAACTACGAATGTAATCAGATTCGATAATTAATCCATTAAACACGAATAAAATAGTCCGGGTTCTAGAGTTCTTTGGTGGCACCTTTTCACAAAAATAAAAGTTGGAGGGTGGCACGAGCATGAGCGTGCGGACTGGAGGGGTCCGTAACATTCTAGCGTCCATTAAAAGATCTTTGATCGTGCAGGGTATTTCAGACTTATGTAGTGTGTACGCTACCAGTATGTGCTCGACCAGGAAAGAAAAGGTTAGGTAATTTGCCATGACATATGGAGCGATGCTGGCTCTGGCTTGTTCAGATCGATCTTTTTTCTCTTATGCGGGGTTACGATCTAGCTATTGTGAACCGCGACGCCGCAATCAAACTTCCTCAGCTGTGATATTTCCATAATAGTATTTGTTAAAGTGAATGAGAATGTCACTAAACTTTCATTGATGACCCTCCTTATCTTCTATATCTAAATAGCTAGCCCCCACTAACTATTTCTCTCAACATGCAAGCATGCCACATCATCCCACAACATGCATGAGAAAAGGTCCACCCTCACTACCATAGTATCTCAACATGCAAGCATGCCACTTCATCATGACATGCACGAAAAAAAAACTCATCTCAATATGCAAACATACATGAGAATTTTCATTCTATTATGGTATATATATTTAAAATATATTTAACAACTATATAGTAATCAAACATAATAAGTTATATCATTTTTAGTTTTAGCCTTTTATATTATCACTTCAAATATTCATGTTTCACACAATGAATCACATTGAAATATGTTGTAAAATATTCCCGCAACAACGTGCGGGGTATCATCTAGTTTATGGAAGAGGACGTGTACATTGTTCTTTTGTGAGATACATTGTTTCTACTGTCCCCCTCTCGAACAAATGCTGGGACACACAAGTTCGGTAGCACGTTTAGCTCCTTTTTTTTGCATGTGTCCCCCCTCTCCCGAGCACACCTTGATAGACAACCTTATTTGTCTTGTTACCCCGACTTGCCTCCTGACACACCTCTTACCCCAACCTACCTCCTACTAAACCCAAACAACAGAACTGTTGCTCCATTGCATCATCACATCACATCATTCACACTTCCTATTTTTCAAGGAGTCACAAAAAGGTCTGCCCCTACCAACTCATAACAAACTTAGTGCTTCGTATGACCTTTCCATGTTCCACATACGTAATCAATAAGTTATCCACAATCAAAACCTAGCTTCCAATCACATACACCAACTTTCGCCCAAACAGAAATTGCCGCCTACTCTTTGCTCAGTCCTCTTCTCTTTGTTGGAACACTAGTATATTTTCCGCGGATGATTCAATGTATTGTTGATTATCATTACCACAAGCACAACAAGCATTAGTTACATTGAGAGGCCTAGCAACTCTACACTCCCGGTGATTCCACATGACATGATTCCTTTCTTATCAACCCCGGATCCCCTTCCCCCATTTCCCGCATTACTTGGGATCAAGGACCCTAGAAGAGTTATAACTTGTGTACGTACACACAATTATTGCTTCCATAGATACGGCATTTCTATAAATACATGTATGCTTGTAAAAACCAGACAAAAAACAACTCGAGCAAAACATGTAGCTCCTGAGCCGCACCGGTTGACGGTCTACGTGGATTTTAACGTCCCTGCACGAACAAGTATATATAAAAAAACATCGTTGTAAAACTGGTTTGTTGTGACGAGTGCACGACTTAAGGCCCAAATCTAGGTGGAGATACGCAATTGTTTCTAATATAATTAGAGTTTTTGGCTTTTGCATGTTATTCAAATGTCTACACATTTGATGAAATGTTGTTGCCACTACTTCATGACGTGGAGGCCCAAGTGTATTTTGCCATTCCGTGCAAACACTTGGAGATGGTAGCAAGTGAGTTGTTCAACGAGTGAGTCAAAGACCCTCTTTCAAAGAAAAATATCGCACATGGAACTCGTCCTCGCCGGGTTATTTATCAGGGTTGATCGACTCAACTCGTAGGCGACTCAGTTGGAACAAAATAACGAACGAACCAATGTAACATATACTCCCTTCGTCCAGAAATACTTGTCATAGAAATGGATATAAATGAATGTATCTAGAACTAAAATACATCTAGATACATCCATTTCTCGAACAAGTATTTCCGGACGGAGGAAGTATATAGTCTCCATAATGAACGAATGAACAGGTCCCGAAATATGTACATGTACGTCAGAATGAAGGAATGAACCAGCGATCGATCAACACCTAGTACTAGTGTGCGGCAAATGTACCAATCCAATCGCGCGCACAGACACAGGTGAAGCAGTACACGTACACCTGCACTGGATGTCTATCCATATCGGAAGGACACCAGTGGAGCTAACGCTAGACGAAGAGCTGGAGCAGAACGGGCGGCGCCTGCGCCGTGGTGGCAGACTCCTGCTCGCGGTGCCGGCGCATGTGGCCACCGAGCGCCTGCCCCATCTCGAACTCCAGCCCGCAGACGTGGCACTGGTGCGCCCGCTTCTCGTCCGTGGTCTTCTTGGTCCCCGGCCCGGAAGTGAGGCCGAGCGCGAGGCCGTGGCGGCCACGGAGGTGGCTTGTCCGGTGCCCGCCCAGCGCCTGGAACGACGGGAACGAGCGGCCGCACGTCTTGCACACGAACTCGCCGTCCGCGCCGCCGCGGCGTATCTTCTTGCTGCTGCGGTCGGCCACGGCGCCGAGGGAGAGCGAGAGGGAGAGGGACGATGGTGCATCGGCCTCATCTCTGTACTGCTTCATTGACGAAACCATATCGCGGCTAGACGGTGAGCTCAACAAGAGTTAGTTCGTAGCTAGTTCTGTGCGGAACGTTGGAGTAGGAGACGAGAGATGGATTCAGTCACTCTGAAGAGCTCGGAATTGGCTGTGGATGGCTCGGATCGTGCCGGGTTAGGCTTTTATAGTGGAGTAGTAGCCACCAGGTACATCGCTTGTAGACGGACCCCCGTACGTCTGGCTTGACGACGACTTGGAGCCCGCGCGCACTTCGCGATCGGCGGCGACTTGGCTAAAGCGTCCGGTCTGCAAAGATAGAACCTTCTCTGCTCGCGTACGTCAGCTTAGTGTAATTGCTTAGCTTGCTAGCTCACGCGGTTACGTGCATGTGGAAGGAAAGGCCAGCGAAATGGGACGGAACCATAATTTGCTTGCTCACGGTCCATGTCCGTTTTAGTTGGGTATTTGTAGCTGCATGCACCGGCGAACTTTATGTTGATCGGCACCGATCTGACGGATCAATCCTCTATAACACTAGAAATGAAGGCCTCTCATTCAATTGAGGTCACCAATTTAGAAATGGCTCATCGATTTTCACCGGGTCAACAATCTCTTATTTATTTTAATTCACTATGCTCTCTAATTTTAGAGCTTTCTCATTGCATTGATAAATCACACCACGAAAGGCCCACCAAAACACCGCGTTATATGAATAAAAAGGAAAACACACTCCATTGTCTTTTCCACTAACCAAACCAAATACTCACTTCGTTCCCAAATACAAGGTACTCCCTCCATAAACTAATATAAGAGCGTTTCGAACACTACGTTATTGATCTAAACGCTCTTATATTAGTTTACAGAGGGAGTATTAGTTTATTAAGAAGTCAAGTTTCTTTAACTTTGATAAAGTCCAGAGCCAAAAATATCGACATCCATAATATTAGATAAATAAAATGTAAAAATTCATTCATGGTGTATCAAAAAGCCATATATTTCTACTGAAATGTGGTCAACTTACATAGGTTTGACTTTTCAAAAAACAAATACACCTTATATTTTAAAATAGATGAAATAAATAAATTAAAAAAATTCAATAACATCAACGACGCATCAAAGCGCCCACAACCCTTCTAGTCAACGACAATTCTTTCGCCAGAAGAATGAGAGTGTGCATACGATTCCACATTTCCTTCGTCTCATTTGCCGGGACGGTTCCAAATTTCCAGTTTTGGCTCTTGCTCCTCTTCTCCAGTCCAAAAATGGCTTGCCGCGTCCGCCTAAATTACTGCACCACATGCAGCTATGGAATTTCTCCGTGATGGCACATGCGCCACGCGCTTCAACGACCGTCAGTGTGCATGCATTACACTCGTCCGAGTGTGCATGTGCTTGTTTTTCACGGAAATGACTACATATTCTGACTAGCTAACAGAAATACGCGCTAAATTAGTTCTTTTGCACGGCAAGCCATGACCATGCGGAGACTCTCGAGAGATCCATAGCGAAGACGCCGATCCAAGTCAACTGCCATTGGCATGAGTCCATGTTCTAGAGCTTATGACATACATCTCTCTCCCTTTCACGTCATCACTCTCCTATAGTCTCATTAGTGTCCCTCTGCCCCTCTCCTTTCTTCTCAAAGTTGTCGTCAAGTTCCTCATATCCGAGCCCATGCAACACAAACTCTAGGGGCCATCATGCACCGATCAGGCATGTCACTAGTTTTTTTTAGATGAAAGTCGTAGGGAACACCTGGATTTATATTATATAAAGCCACATAAAAAGGATCCTGCAAAAATTTACGACGTCGAGAGAGTAGAAAGAAAAATAAATCGACTGGGGATACCAGCTTACAAAGATAGATATGCAAGCACCGACTCGAATAGCACAAAAGGGAACAACTAAACCATATTACCCGAACAAGGTGGATCCGGCGCCCTCCCCACACCCCGCGGCATCCAAATCGGGCACCACGTGAAGGAGGAGGTGTCCTCGGCGACCCCGAAGGCGCGCAGGCACCTCCTGTACTACATCGATGGTCGTGGCGGCAGCAGCTCTTTGCCGTCGCGGAGCATCATGTCGTCCGACGAGAGGGCGTACAGGGAGGCGGCACAGCAGGAGCGATGCGCCGCATACACCAAGTCCCACAAGGCACCCGCCTGGGTTCGCGCGGACCCCGACCTCGTGAAGGTCTGGGCCCTCGCCCGGTTGCTGACCACTAGACGACCGTGCGGTGACGCCGCCGCTTTGATGGGGAGCTTGCTAAGATCGGCGAGGAGTGGTATCTCAGTGAGACCGACACCGCGACCGGTGGCAGGAGCAAGGGCAAGGCTTCCCGGCCCTTGGTCGGCGTTCATCATGGCGACCCTCCGCATGGTGCCGGAGGAAGCGGAGTGGCGCCTTTGCGAGTGTTAGGTGGTGGCCACACCCCCACGTCCACCAACACGTCCATTTTATGTCCGGACTTAAGTGAATTTAATTGTGTTTGCATGAAAATCGTCCGGTTTGTTCAATTGCACTTTCAAATGTTTGCGGGCATGGTTGGATGACCTGCTCCCATGTCATTTTTTACAGACGCATGCGAACACGTGCACACAAAATGCAGTGTCCGTTTTATGAATTTGCATTGAAGATGCCCTCCGCCACGACTAGGTAAAGTCAGCACACACACTCCTGCTGTCTACGCGGTGCCATGTAGCATGCACATCAGCACATGCAGGCCCCTTGGGCCATCTTCTTTTTGAGTGCAAGAGCCCCGCACACCAGCTCACTTGCTTTACAGATTTAAAATGGCAGCAAATGGGACAGATATCTAGCCTGCACGAACAAGCAAATAAATCGAGTAGCTTGCAGTTGAAATGGCAGCATATGCTGTAGGGAACAGCGAAGAAAACGCGGCCCCTGCGACGCGTCGAATGCAAGTATGGAACAGAGCTGTGGAGCTGTGTACAGGAGTAATCCATTGACCCGAACCCCGGCTATTAGGTTGTGTCGGCTTCGCACTTTAGTACAAAGTTGGGTCATTTATTTTAAAAGAAAAGAAATAGATGACAACTTGGATATGCGTACGTCTCTCTCGAGCGCTGGATGGTGCCCTGGCAAAACCGCGTACTGTACCGGCCGGTTTGGGCCCTGCCCTTCTCTAGATGAATCCAGGCTGCCCGTCCGTATACGCAAAGTTGTTCCTAGAATTTGATGATGGGAAAACACATTGATGACCGATGAGTAAATAATACTCCCTTCATTTTAAAATATAGTGCCGTCCGCGCTTTTCGAGGTTTAACTTTGATCATAAATTTAACCAACGAGACCAACTGCGGCAGGAGAAAAAATTATATAATTGAAAACTTCTTTCGAATACGAATTCATTGATATAATTTTTACTCCCGCCGCAATCAGTCTTGGTAGTTAAATTTACGGTCAAAGTTGAAGCACGTGGATAGAGAAAGCACTACATTGTGGAATGGAGGGAGTACTACCTCCGTCTCGGTGTATAAGTCATTCGCGTAGTTCTAGGTCGATAATTTAACTATCTAAATATGTATTATATGTAACAAAAAATATATATTTAGAAACTATATCCGTGTGGAAATCTAGTGGTATACTTTTTATGACATATAACACATATTTAATTCCTCAAATCGATGACCGTCTTGGTAGTTAAATTTACGGTCAAAGTTGAAGCACGTGGATAGAGGAAGCACTACATTGTGGAATGGAGGGGGTACTAGTATTTTTTGAACATGACCGATGAGACGTTGCGCAGACCTGGTTTTACTAAAAGTAAAAGTACTCCCTGTTTCCCTTCACAAAAATTAGTGATCTAAATGCTTTTATGTTAATTTACAGAGAAAGTATTTAATTAAACTTCATTTCTTTGCAAGAGTGTCAACACGGTCTACGGTAAAAAGACTTCAAGCTCTGCACTGTGTGTGCGTTCCAAACTAATTAAAGTTCTACATTTGTGTTATCACAAACTTCTTTAAGTTTGATCAACTCTACAAATAGATGCAGTACCAAGATCTACAACACCAAGTGCACATAATACGGAAGCATAATTCATAAAGAAGATGCTAATATATTTCAAGAACTTAATAAACTTATAAATTTGACTTAAGACAAAACCGAACTTCAGTTATTTTGGAATGGATGTAGTATTTAGCCGAGTCGCAGCTAGCTAGGCCGCTTTTACCCGGCGATCCTCATCCTTGGGCCGAAAAGCTGCATGGAGATGGCATGCGATATGCCCTGGTCGATGCTCTTCGTCTCCGACCTCATGGCGGAGAGCAACTCATCGATCGACATGGTACTCTTCTCCGACAAATTGATTCACCGCGGCTAGTTCTTCTCGATGAGCGAGGCCATGTCGATGATCGCGCAAGACACGAAGGAGAGTGGATAGCGGAGGGTGATGAGGTACAATTATGTGCCATTTGGACGCTTTCAATTTACTCGGTGATATTGAGGAGGTACACGGATCGAACTGGGATGGAGGTGGTGGCGCGAGATGGCATGCACCATTATCGAGATTGCATTTACTCACCATCAAACCTCTAGTGGAAGACCATGGTTCTTCGGTTTTGCTCGCGAGCATTTCGACATCTCCGCTGCAAACAAAGAGAACCAAGACGATTACCCTTGAGCTTGTTGTGTTTCGCTACAGATCTCTGATCCGTCCTGGTCTCGATGGCGGAATGGGAGGCACGCACGACGAAGATAGCGGGGGGAGACGCGTTGAAGTTGGCCAGGCGGCGATGGCGATGACCAGGGAGTTGGCCTATCTAGAGGAAATAACTGATAGAAATCGTGCTTCGAGCTATAGAGGAGGCAGAATCTGCGGATCCGGTCCAGCGGCGGAAATGAATGATATAAAGATTCAGGCATCCCCTGGCCCGAAGCTGGATGCAGGGATGGTGGTGATGGCACTGCCATCACCGGGGATGCGGGAGATGCCGATTGTGCTGGATGATGAAGAGGAAGTAAGACCGAGGAGGAAGAAGGGGATACGGGAGATCCTGCAGCTGCCTTGGCGTTCCCCTCGGTCTCCACATCGCTCTGCAAGGATCCGTGCCCTCGTCCTCAACCCCAACGAGCAAACGAATCAGTGTAAATGTTGAGAAGTTGTCTAAGTTGTGAAGGTCGTCTATATTGCAGAATTTTACAGACGGAGGCTCCGTCCTGGACTTATCATATGTACTTCCTCTCTAAAGAAATGTAAAAGCATTTAGATCAATACTTCAGTGAACTAAACAGGAGTACAATGGTTGTGAACAAAAACAAATTCATAGAGGAACAATCTGAGTGGAAGAATCTGTCAATTGCATTAGGAACAAACGAATGTATTTTCACTATGTATACAAGATTACCGTGCATGTAAAGAAAAGGTGCATGTAAATCTCTCATCCATCTATCGGTTAAAAAAGGGACCGATCCAAAGCAAAGATCCAGCAAGGACGGGAACGCTAACCCGGAAAAACGTACTCTATACAACGTTGAACAATAATGAGCCTATCTGATTCTAAAGACATGTACAAACAAGCATTGAGATCCACTATCAAGCACTGAGATCCAGCTAGCAGGCTAGACGAACAGCTCAAGCAAGACCGGTAGCCGGTCGGCGGGGGCCTGGTGCCCCGCCTCCTGATTCGACAGCGCGACCCACCGGTCGAGCGCCATCTCCTCGCGGTGCCGCCGCATGTGGCCGCCGAGCGCCTGGCCCGTCTCGAAGCCCAGCCCGCAGATGTGCCAGTCGTGCTGCTGCTTTTCCTCTTGCCTTTTCTGCTCCGTGATGGCCCTGGCGACGCCTACGCCGAGCTCCAGCCCGTGGCGGCCACGGAGGTGGCTGGTCCGGTGCCCGCCCAGCCCCTGGAACGTCTCGAAGGCCCGGCCGCAAGTCTTGCAGACGAACTCTCCCTCCCCCGAAGTGGCCACCACCCTCCCCCGCCGTGCCCTCTTCCTTGCGGCCGCCTTCGCCGGCGCACCGGTCGAGTCGGCCGAGGTGGTGGTGGACGTCGAGGAGTCTGTGCTGAGAGAGAGCGCCAGCGACACAGCTGGCTCCTCCTCCCTCGCGCGCTTCATCCCCGCTCCCATGGATTTGCTGCTCGTCTTAATGATCTGATGGATGGATCGGCGTAGATGTGGATCGAAGCTCTTTTGTGCTGCTGCGGAGTTGTGTCTGGAGAAGGAAGAATGGATGGATGGGTCGGCAGGGGAGACGGACAGACGGTCCACTTATATATAGGTGGCGTGCGTGTTGCTGCGGATGGAGCTTACGTGTGTGCCGAGCTGGTGGGGGCTGCCCTACCTCTGGCGTCTGTGGACCAATCGTTCGAAGCCACCTTGACGTTCGCGACGTGACGGATAGGATCGAGCTCCCGGATATTTCGGTCGTGCGTAGCGCCGCCGAACGTGTGGTGCGGAGTGGCGTCAGATGTCACGCCACAAGGCGCGTGGCGGCGCGCAGCTGTCTAGCTTCCAAAGACTTTGGACGGCGGAAGGTTCTAGGGCCGGGGAAAAGATCTTTGAATGGCCAAGATCATTCAGTCTTGCGTGAGATGCATACATATTATTTTTGCTCCCTCCATTCCGTAAATATATGTCTTTTCAGAGATTTGAATATGGACCACTTATGGGTGAATATAGACGTATCTTAGAGCATAGATTCATTTATTTTGCTTTGTATGTAGTCTATATTAACTTTTTTTGCGAAAGAGCACGGAAGAAAAGTTTGATACTTCATCCACCATAATTAACATTTTTACAGAGAAAAGTTTAAGTGATCTACCGTGACCTAGCTAGTGATGACCAATCTCTTTTTCTTCTTTCTTCCGATGGGGGATACCGTCTACGGTAGGATTGATTGAGACACTACGGCCACTCTTCACTGCGCATATTGTTTGTTAAAGTGAATCAGAACATAATTAAATTATGATTGATTCTTATTGATGATCTCTTTTATTGTTGACGTAATCAAATTCAATGGTCAATCAGTTAACAGGGAAGAATAAGGCCACATTCGGTTCGTAGGAAATGTGCAGGAATTTCAATAGATGTTTTTCGCGTAGGATTATTTTCCTTCCTAGCATCCGGAATGAAGGAAACACCTACAGTATTTCATAGGAATTATTCGCTTACCGTGTCGGTTCCTCTGGAATGTAAACATCCACCGCGATCGATTGTTTTCATGGAAGACCGAGGCGTCCTGCTGGTTCTAGCGTGTGGGGCTAGCTATTGCACACTAATATCTGAATAAAATAATGCTACCATGGGTGTCTCTATCTGAGTTCAGACGCAAAGATTGGTGTGCATGGCAATAAAAAAAATTCCTTGTCAAGTTGTGACCATAAAGAGAACAGTACAAATTCCTCTATTTCCTCGCAAAAAAAAAACAAATTCCTCCATTTCTCCTGTATCATCCGAACGGAAGTTCCTACGCATTCCCCCGTTTTTTTTTTCAAATCCTTTATTTGCCACAACATTCCTTTCCTGTCCCTCCATTTTCTCATTTCTCCTGTATCATCCGAACGGAAGTTCCTACGCATTCCCCCGTTTTTTTTCAAATCCTTTGTTTGCTGCAGCGTTCCTTTCCTGTCCTTCCATTTTCTCATTGCTCCTGTATCATCCGAACATCCATTTTCTTCTTTTTCTCATCCGAACGACAGCTCTATTTTTTTTCATACATCGTTCTGCAACCCCGAAACACCAAAAAAATATTTCGTCAATACCAGGACTCAATCTTTGGTGTAGTGAAAAGTTGCCATGGGACACAACCAACTCATCCAGCCCGTGTTCTTGTCAAGGTCAAGGAGCTTATTTTATATATATCCAATTTGAACCGAGCCGTCTGGGCCGCACGTCAATTGGCTGCATATAGTTAAAAAAGAAGTTCGCGGCCAAAAATACGTTTTGCTAAAAAAAAGGCCAAAAATACATGCCCCAGTTAAGACAATCCTTTATTGTCTAATCAACCTCTTAGGGCATCTTCAATGGTTGTAAAATAGTTATCGATAGACTTTGCCACATAGGATTTTTGATGATGTGTCATACAATAAATGAGAGAAGAGAGGAATTTATATGTACTACCTGAACCAACACCCCTTGCACAAGCTCCAATGTACAATGTGAGAGCACCTTATTTATTATCTCATATCCTATTAGACAAACTAGATACAAGCTATTGAAGTTGTTGTATGTTAAGGTGTTGGTTGATGATATGACATATTTTACCAACAAGCTAACATACAAACCTTTAGAGATGCCCTTAGGCCCCTCCCAATGCCCCATCTTGTACAGGTGCTAAGATTGCCAACTAAGCAAAAAATCTGATGTGGCATGCTAATTAAGAAGAGAGAGTAGTATGATGGCCCTGGAAAGAAACGGTGCTAAACACGTGTACCTAGGTGGAAGCACAATTCTAGGTCTACAACTAATTAAATGCATAAAGCTTAGCACCTTTGCATTGAGGACTTGAGTTGCTAAACCATTTAATATACTTAGCACCTCATCTAAGGGTAGTCATAGTGGGAGTAACTTAGGTAGTAACATAGCGCACCTCAAGAATTTTTTGCTTATGTGGCAAGTAGTTAATGAGAAGTAGTAACATAATATATGTTACTGTAACATAGCGATTTCCAAGACAACATGAGTCTACAAGCTATTAAATGAGGCCACATATGATACTAGTATTATGTTACTTTGCATTATGAAGGTAGTAACTTAGAATAGTGTCATGCATATGACACTAGTCTAAGTTACTCCCCACTATGACCAGCCTAAGCACCTTTGCATTAAAGAAGATTGCACTAATTAAAGAAGGTTACATTGAAGCATCTAATTAAATGAAATTAATTCGTCCTCAGTTAATAACATAATCACATGCTAAATCTGTGCTATGTTGCCTCTGCAGAGAAAAAATAGAGAGATTGGTTGTTCGTGATGTCTCTGAATAGAGAAATAGAGTTATCTTTTTAGGAAATATAGTGCATGTAGGAAGAAGAGATTGATGCTTAACTAACAAAATACATGTTGGTTTGCACGGGTCTTTGGATACGCATGCGTGCACGCCGGATACTTAACTTGGGCAGTGTAACATATATAGTCTCTGGAAAAAAACAATGTAACATATACATATAGGTCACCCGCAAGAAAAAACATATACATATAGGTGACTATCGTTCCACACACATCAATGTGAATACTAAGTTTTTTAAAACATAACTAGGAATCTTTTTAAGAAACCTAAAAATTTTGGGTATCAAACTTTTTTTGACCAACTACAGTAGGGAAAATCCCTACTGAAATGACACCTGGGTGTTCCATAGTGAAGAAAATAGCTTCGGATAGTGTTTCCGAATATAGCTTTGATTTTACCAAAAAATAATCTTTTTTCCGGGAGATGCCAAAAAATATTCGAGATTACCACAAATGTCATTTCTTCATGAAACTTCATATGCGAGTATATCAGTTGACCATGTACGTTACGAAAAATATATCAGGTATTTTAAATTTTCCCAAATAATTAGTCTCACAAGTCAGGTGTGTGGCACTCTGGCGCTGATGTTTTCTGGTGGCAATTTTCAGTGTCACACGGCAATTTTCTGGCAAAAATAAATTAAAGCATGAAAGCTCTCATACTTGGCAACTAAAGTTGTCATCCTCACGTCATTAAACTTGGTGTTAAAAATGTTCTGAATTGTCATATGCTTGTATCTGACATTCGGCACTTATCAGGATCCTAATTTTTTTAGTGTTTTTTTCAGAATGGACTATTCATAAGGGGTTCCGTGGAACCATGTTCCAGAAATCAACGCCCATATAGTCTCTATATATATAATAAACGAATAAACGAGTCGTAAATATTTACATAAGCGTAGAAAAATGAAAGAATGAACCAAGACCAACGGCATATAGACGAACGAGTAAACCCGCACTTGATGTGTATCCATATCGAACAAGCTAGAGCTAGACGAAGAGCTGTAGCAGAACGGGAGGCGCATGCGCCGTGGTGGCGGCCTCCTGCTCGCGGTGCCGACGCATGTGGCGGCCCAGCGCCTGCCCCATCTCGAACTCGAGCCCGCAGACGTGGCACTGGTGCGCCTGCTTCTGCTCCGTGGCCTTCTTGGTCGCCGGCAGATCGGTCCCGGCGGCGAGTCCGAGCGCGAGCCCGTGGCGGCCGCGCAGGTGGCTTGTCCGGTGTCCGCCCAACGCCTGGAACGACGGGAAGGAGCGGCTGCACGTCTTGCACACGAACTCGCCGTCTGCACTGCGGCGTGTCTTCTTGTTCCGTCCAGTCACGGCGCCGAGGGAGAGCGAGAGGGACAATGGCACCTCGGCCTGATATCTGCAGTGCTTCATTGACGAGACCATGGGCGCGAGGCAAATGCGATATGGGCTGGCTCAACGAGAGTTGGCGCGTCTGTGCGAATTGTGAAACGATGGGCGTGATGAGATGTGGAATGGATTCAGTCACTCGGAAGAGCTCGGGAATTGGCTGTGGATGTGGCTCGGTTCCGTGGATTTTTGGCCTTTTATTCTATGGATGGAGTACTACTACTGGCAGATAGCAGCAAGGTGCGTCACGTGTACACCACGTCGCTCTTGACGTCTGAGGTAGGAGGCACGACTTGGAGAAAAATTCCTTATTTGATACTGTCTTAAAATTTGATTCCTTATTTGATACTGGAAAAAATTTTCTTTTCTATTTGACACTAGTCCTAAATTTTATTCCCTATACGACATTTTTGTCCATTTTAAGCCTAAATGACACCTGAAAAGACGATTTTGCCCTTCATGTGATATGTGTGTGCACGCGCGCGTGTGCTGTTGCGTGTGTGGGTGCACGCGCACATGTGTGCTGCTGCTGCATGTGTGTGTGCATGTGCGCTGCTGCCTGTGTGTTTGCTGCTGCGTGTGTGTTTGCTGCAGCGTGTGTACGTGCGTGCGTGTATGTGTGTGTTGTTGTGTGCCTATGTGCTGCCTGCGTGTGTGCTGCTGCTGCATGTGTGCTGCTGCGTGTGTTTGCTACTACGTGTGTACGTGCGCGCGCGTGTGCGTGTGCGGTTGTGTGCCTATGTGCTGCCTGCGTGTGTGCT